GTTGGGTTGAGAGCTTCGTGGGCTTCCCGAGCAGCTTCAAACCAACGAGCTTTTCTCCCAGAGGAGAACCTCTTGGACTTGCGGGGGGAGGCAGATCCGGACGAGGACACATACTCCTTGTACTTCTGCTGGTCGAACTCATACTCGACCTCCTCCACGACCGGGATTGCAATCCGCGGCTGCGACGCATCGATCTCGTTGGCGAGATCGTCGGCTCCCACTGTGGTCGCCAGATTGTTCGCGCGGGCAACTGTTTTCTTTTTCATTGAGATATTGTCATCATTGGTTAAAAGATCGCGATCTTTTATAGATCCGGGTTACAGTACTAAATCAAGATAAAAAAGTAAAAAATTACAACTTTCCTCTCTACTGTGAATCAAATCGCGAGCTCCTGTTTGGCCGGTCGGCCTCGCATTTGGTGTTCTTTGCGCGGCGCCGCGGGGTTAATCGCGTGACCACGCGCGCGCATGCCTAGATCGGCGGTTGGATCTACTAACGATTATACCGTGGTATTAATTCCAAGCGAAGGGAATAATAGCCGGGGAGGATATGTATTGCCGCAGGAAACAATCGTCCAGATCTCGGATTAAGTACGCAAGCTTAAGGATTCCGGAGTGTGATATCGTGTAGATCTCAGATCTGTTTCTTTGCCTCTCTTGAAATCGCTGCCTTTTCTGCTCGTGGTAGCTCGCCGAGGATCAGATCTGTATGTGCAAGTACTTCAAGTCTTCAAAGGCTCGTGAGATCACCCTCTCAATGCCGGCAAGGTTTCGGCTCTTGAAAATTCCGACCGGTCTGAAATGATACCATTGGGGCCTATTTATAGGCGCACCGACAACCGATCTTGCCTAGGCCACAGATCTGGGGCCGGCCACTAATCCAGGGTGGCTCGGCCACCGAGCCACCTCAAGGTGGCTCGGCTTGGGCCGAGCCACCTGAAGGTGGCTCGGTTTCGGCCGAGCCCCTCTAGGTGGTGGGTTTTCCGAGTTTTTTGTGTTCGTTTTCCGGTTCTGTCCGTGATTTGGTTGATCTGATTTGGCAGTAAGTCTGATTCCTGATTTGGCAGTAAATCCACTTCTGAGTTCGAGTCCGAAACTGATCTTGATTCGATCGTGATTCGTCCGAGTCCGCTCTCGGTTGGATGACTCGTTGACTCTTTAACACTTGGCTTGATTCCGAATGCGTATGGATGCATTCCGTCGCTTGCGTGCGATTCGTCGATCTCGTCGCCTCGTTGGTTCGTCGGTTTGTGCCGAGCTATGCTAGGGGACCTATAAGCAATTTTATATGCCTACACAAGGCTTGTATAATTTTTTTAAGTAAAGAAAATGTAAAAATTACATTGATATATAAGCTCTTCATCTTCTTTACTTCATGATGCCTTGAACTCATCTTGCACTTGTTCATGTTGATAGCTGTATTGAAATGTTAGTGCACAATAATACACATAGTTATTCATATTATGAATAAATTGTTATCATCAAAATTATATCATGGGAATATGATATCCAACATAAGAGATCCAATTAGAGACTACATGGTGGTGAGGGATTACCTTCTCAACCAATGGGTACATGGCCAAGTAACTCTGTCTAGTGAACGCGCGGACCGACATACGACTTACTCACCGTCTTCTTCCGCTTAGGGAAGTGAGCCTCCATGTGGGTACTAGGTCTCTCGTGTTTGGATTTGGCACGTACCTCAACCCATGTGGCAGACTCACCGGAAGACCATAATCTCACGCGACGGAGGATAAGAGGCTCATCTTCTTCAACCATCCCACCTGGGGTAACAAGAGTCATCTTGTTAGGATAAGTAAACAAAACCTCTCACCTTGGCTTTGATGGAGCCGGTAGAGGTTTAGGGAAAATAGAGCGCTGAG